CTTCGACAATATTCTAAATCTCATGTTTTCAACTATATTTCTCTGATTCTAATTTTCGCCTATTTATCATTTCTTCCCACTCGCTCGTTATTTCCTGTTCACTCCCGCTCTTTCATTAGCTCATTAATTGTTTCGTTAAATGTAATTACTACAGAAATATGTTTGACTGCTACAGTAATTGCAACGTAGATTAAAGTAGTTTCATTAAAGTACAGAGAAAATATAAGGTGTATTAATGGAAGGCAAGTGGAAATTAAAATAATTTCACCATTTTATAGAATTTGGTAAGCAGATATGAGATTTTTCATATTTCGCGTACATATAACTTATTAAATTGTAGTCAAACCAATTTCTCTGCTCGTATATTAAAAATTGAATATATTTTACATTTCAGCTAATAATATTCTTGATCAAACGGTCATCATAACTATTAATCTATATCTATTATCAATTAAATTTAAAGAAATAAATATGTATAATTTAATATAATTATTTGAAATAGATCGATTACTTTAATATAGGATTGAAACATTCGGATTCATAAAATCTTTAATGCAATTGAAGATTTTGAATATATGGTTGATATATATATATATATATATATATTTATAAATTAATAACAACATAAAATTCTTATTAAAATTCTTACAAAAGCATATAGTATAAGAGTTATGAAAATTTTAAATTTATATTAACTATCAAAACACTAATATTCTAAGGATATTAATCTTCTTGGCTTATAATGTTTTGATTAATTATGAATTAACATGCTTGATAATGTTAAAAGGTTTATCACAAAAAATTAATAAACAAAATAGGATATTTCTATATAAAAAAAAAGTTTTTCTAACAAATATAATGCGTTCCAGCACAATACAGGGAAATTGATTTTGGAAACATAATGTTTATAAATACCTTACGTAAATTCATTGTATTAAACAATTACACATAATTTTCATTTTATTATTAAATTCTATCGTTCATTAGTTGAGCATACAAAGTATTTCACGAGCGTGGAATTAAAACTCTCCACTTTATTAAAAAAAATGAAATATTAAATCATTGATTATATTTTATATGAAGATTTATTTTTGTTGAATTTTAATTAATTTCTGTTTCCTATTACATATATTAGTATCCTAAAGTATTTAGAGAATTTCATACTATTATTTTGATAAGATTTTATAGAAAATAGATTAATAATTTTTTTATAATACATAATATTTTATTTTAAATAAAATTTTTTAAATAGTGAGAAATTAATTATTAAATATGTCTTTTAAATTATAAATAAATAAGAATACTTTTAACATATTCAAAGTTTGAGAATTTACTTAAATAATTGTAATTTCTTAAAATTAAGCCATGACTAATACAATTATATATATTTTAATAAAATTTTGAAACCTTTTAAACACTGAAAAACCATTTTTTATTAATTAAATGTATTAGAAATTAATAATAATAATTCTAACAATTTTCTAAGTGTACAATTAGAAGACAATTAAAATAAATGTAGAAACTATTCTTTTAAAAATGTTTGAAACTTGAAGTGCGTTTATTTTAATAACAAGTAATTACATTTTTTATGTGTTCTAGTATAGAGTTAAGTGTAGAATTTATAAGTTTTAATCCATTATATCACAGAAAACTTATTTTCAAATTTACTGTTCTTATATAGTATCATCTATTAAAAAATAAAATAATATAAGTAAGGACAGTATTATGTATACTATCTTATAAGTATATTAATCAAACTGTTTCTAATTAAAATTAAATTTTTATTTAAGCTCTTATTTGTTATAATCTAGTCATTTAATAATTAACGTAGAGTTTTGGATTTTTAAAACTCATAAATTGGATACTAAAAGTATACTAAATATAATACGTATAATTAAGTAAAAAAAAAAAATATTCAGGATAATGAATTAGAAATTGTAATACTTCAAATAAAGAAAAATGATAAAAATTTAGAAAACAAATAGTTCATAAAAAGTAATATATAATAATTTTTATAAGCCTAGTGCAAGTTTTCTTATTAAAATGAAATCTAATGAATTATCCATTTTATAATATGAAAAGAATAAAAGTCAAATTATGTTGCGTTTGGTTTTATGTAATAAGGAGCTCAACTCTTTGATGAATGAAGTGTTTCTGGTAGTTGATGTACACAACATTTTAACTTGATTATTTTAAAAATATTGGTGAGCATTAAAATGCAATTTTCGCGAAGTAAGTACTCGTATATTATTGCTTGCACTCTGTTCCTTAAT